CACCCTCTAGGGTAATCCCACATGTTGCCTTCCAAAATGGGCCATGCTTGCACGTCGAGTATCTTTGGCAAAACAAATTCAAATGATCATAAGTCCCTCGATGACGCTTTCGAATGTTGCCTAAAACGGAATGATCATAGTCCCTTCAAAGCAAATTGCCAAAGACACTTGGCATCATTGCATTCATGGTCCATACGATGACCCGTGCCCGTCCCGTTAAACATTCCTAAACGCAAGATTGTCCACCAAATTCAATGGTGGAACAAAATTGTTAAAAAGGGTTGAAAACATAAAGAAAACCTTTGAGTACAATAGGGGTAGACAAAACTCTTAGTTACTTGAGATCAACTTGCAAAAACACTTGCCTTCTTTTCAAAAACCACATTTCATACACATTTTCAAAACAAACCCTCAAAAAACATTTGAAACAAAAAGATCCACACTTTTGTAAAACACTCAAACACGAGTCGAATACATTGGTCGCCTAAGACAAGGCATCTCTTCAAAAACATTTTCAAAACACACACACACACACCATTTTCAAGCAATCGAAAATCAAGGCAAGTGATCTAAAAAACCAAGTAACTAAGAGCCCATGGATAACCATGGATGAAAAGGGTGCTAATACCTTCCCTTTTCATAATCTACCCCCCGGACCCACGAAATATCTCAAAAGGTTTTTGCTGTGCTTTTTTAACCTTTCCTTTAGGATAAAATAAAAAGTCGGTGGCGACTCTTGCTCAACCGAACAAGTGCGAATACAAACGCAAACCTCAAGTCAGTTATCCCACCGTATCACACCATGCATGTATCACAATTGGACAGTAAGGGAGGCGCCATTGGACTTGGCGAAAGAGTACAAAAATGAATGGTGTCGCCACCCCAATTGGCGAATAAGAGGTGTCCTTTGTTACAGCATTGGCTCAGTCTACGTGACAGCCTTGGTGGATTCCTTTCATTATTGCATGTAAGCCCATTGGAGTTGATGGGAGGAGTCTTACAAAATAAATGTATATGTGCAGAATAGGGCCAGGCTAGGTGGCAGCCTATGGGGTTTCATAAGCCCATGCATGTATCACGATTGGACAGTAAGGGAGGCGCCATTGGACTTGGCGAAAGAGTACAAAAATGAATGGTGTCGCCACCCCAATTGGCGAATAAGAGGTGTCTTTTGTTACAGCCTAGGCTCAGGCTACGTGACAGCCTTGGGGTATTCCTTTCATTATTGCATGTAAGCCCATTGGAGTTGATGGGAGGAGTCTTACAAAATACATGTATATGTGCAGAATAGGGCCAGGCTAGGTGGCAGCCTATGGGGTTTCATTATTGCATGTAATATTATTGGCAGCCTTGGGGGGTTGCATCCTTACTTAATTGAAATTTTTAGCCTTACGTTTATCATAACATTGATTCACATAATCTGTCAAATCTTCCAACCTTCAAACGTTCTTATAATCAAACATTCCAACCTTCGAATCAGTCATCAAATTCATACATTCCAACCTTCAAACATTACAGCATTCATACCTTCATACAATCAATAAACCTCAAAAATTCCAACCTTCAAACCTTAAAACAATTCTACGCAATGGCCTCTTCACCACAATTTGTCGTCAAAGCACATTTCAACGGTGAGACATACATTTGTCCCACAGCTGGGTTTTTGTTTAGAGACACAGACAACATTCGATTTCTCTTAAACGGGAAAGCCAATTTCTCGTACTTCAAAAAAAGATTGGAGGCCAAACTTGAACGAGGCCCGGTGTCCCAGATATTTTATCAGAATCCAGTTTTCTTTGGAAACAACCAAGTAATTTTTTATAAGGTTGAAGTTCAAGATGACGAGGATCTCCAGAATATGATTTCCATCCATGTCTATTATGGATACGACTCTATTGAGTTGTACGTTTTGCTTCAAGAGCCTCCGATGACACAGGAGGTTGATCCTTTGGAGAATAAACAAGATGAGGTAGATGCAGTTGATGATGAAGAAGAAGATAACGAGTTAGAGTTTGATGAAATGGTGAACGATGATTCTGACGATGATGGCATCCCTAGTATTCCTACAGACAAAATCTACACACCACCTTCGCACATGACAAACTTCAACATGGGCGGAGATGAACCTTCTACTGACTTATTTTTCAAACCGTATATGCAGTCGGATGAAAATTTAAAAGAGAAGGACAAGTTTCGTAATAGAGAGGAATGCATCAGGGCCATTAAAAAATTTCACATGCTCAACTCGGTTGATTTTAAGGTGGATCGTGTCAACCCGGAAAGGTACAAAATCAAGTGTGTCCACCCTGACTGTATGTTCAAGCTGACCGCATCATACAGATTAAGGGGTTGCTGGGTCATAGGTTCCATGACTACCCACACTTGTGTAAGTTCCACTCAATCACAGGACCACCGAAAACTCAACTATGATCTAATCTGTCAAGAAATCCTACCCCTGGTCAGCAATGACCCATCTTTGAAGGTGAAAACAATCATCTCCCACATCACCACGGTTTTTAACTACACTCCGTCTTACCGTAAGGCGTGGTTAGCAAAGACTAAGGCGATTGAAAGGGTGTACGGAAACTGGGAGGAGTCATACCGAGAACTTCCCCGCTACCTGAATGCACTCAAGACGTATTCTCCAGGTAGTGTTTACGTTCTGGAAACATTGCCAGCGTACGCCCAAGATGGTAGTCTACTGCATGGCAACGGAATATTCAGTCGCGTGTTTTGGGCATTTCAACCATGCATCACAGGGTTTGCATCATGCAAACAAATTTTACAAATTGATGGGACTTGGTTGTATGGGAAGTACAAAGGCACGCTATTGATGGCAGTTGCACAAGATGGTGTTGCACCCCAAATTTTGCCCTCCTAATTTCCTTTATTTTGGCTTAGACTTTTGCATTCATCTGCATCTTTTTCATTAGGTCACTAACATGGCATACATTTCATTCAATATAGCTCTGAGGTTCAAAGTTCAGTGGTTGTGCGATACTAGGGTTTCATAGTGGTTAAGGCGCTCATATCCAATAAAGGACTTCTTCTCCCTCAAGCAGCAAGGCTATTATCTTCTGATGAACAACCGATTGTAGGTCATTCTGGTCAAGAACTCTAGGACGTGACCTAGCATATGTGGGCTTCGAATCATGACGTCCTTTCCTATGAGTATGCTTGTCATTTGATTAGGATTAATGACTGTGACATGACAATCGTCTACTCCTCAGTTAATCAAATTAGGTTTTGTTGAATCATGGTTCAAAGATGTTTTATCTGGATTTTTCTCTGTGCGTCTGAACGAGGAATCAAGATTGTGAGGGTTTCACATCAAGGGAATTCTTCTGTGATTCAGACTTTGTCATCCATCTGTAAGATGTTCCTTATGACACTAATCTCAAGTTGAAATAACCGATCACTAAGGGCTGAGGATTGAATTATGAAGCGTGGTTCATGACCTAAGATATGAATTCATAGATTTCTCCTTAACCAAGGCCATCATTGTCCTCATCATTATCATTTGTTATCTGCGATGTGAGTAGGTTTGGATTGAAGTAGGTTTCCCATAGAAGAATTCATGCAAGGTAATTCAAGGTTCAAGGCATTCAAGGCAGGGTTTATTCAACATGGCATACCTGGTTGATGGGCTTACAAGCTCTTATGAGACCTTGAGATGCATAACCATGGGCCAATTTCAAAGATATGTGGATAAGATCTGTTGACTTCGGTTAAAGTAAGCTTTGAAAAATTAACTTTGGGACCAAGGTCTCCCTTGAATTTTCATCTAATATGTGTTGGGAATTCGAGTTGCATTTGAAGAATGGTATGGTAAAGGAAAAGAAATATTGGTTCAGAAAAGAAAAAATTCATTAAAAATCAGGGTTTCTATTCATTGATAAAAGTTCAAGTAATTGAAGATCAGGGGAAATAAGGTTTCATATTAATCTTGATCATATTCTTTCATTATCATTTACATCCATCTTTGACGATTTAGGGTCGTCAATTAGGGAAGGACTTTGTCAAGATAAGAGACTTGTGGATTGAATCGTGGAATATGAGGCATGATACAAAAGGCAAGGTTGTGATTTTTTAGGATCAAGATCTTATTGACTATTCAAATTATTTGTCATTCAAGTTGATTTGGGTTCAAGATTGAAGTTAGGAGTTCATTGAGAATGCAAGTGTGATTTGGATTTGAAGTTTGATTTGAGTTCAAGATGTTCGAAAGTGTTTGATTGGATTAAAGTTGGCAAAGAGCCTTAAGTATTGGTCATATGAGTTTCTTGGAAGGTAAAGTACAGACTGCGAGGTCTTGTTTCAAGTCGGAGTTCATACGCATTACAAAGAAGTTCATCGTTATTCCAGATTCAAGTTGACATGTGTTCAAAGTTTATTCGAACCCTTTCATTCATGATTCAAGAAAATACTAGCCAATTCCATTCAATTTCATTCAAGTGTAACAATACCTTACAAGAAAATTTGATGCTTTCATGTCTTCAAGCATTTTCTCAAGACTTTGTCATTTAAACTCCATCCTTAAAATTCATCACCCAACATTTCAAGCTCAAAGGTCATTTACAATTCACCACTATAAATTTCAAGTTCATCCAAACCAAACATTCATTATAAAATCATTACAATCCCATTACACCAATATTCTACAAAGAAAAAAAACTGTTACAAAATACACTTGAACAAAATTCTTTAGTCCTAAAGGTGCTAAAATTCCATGAGTAAACTTCTAATTCCATGCCATGCCAAAGTTCTTCATCTTCAGTTCATGACCTGCACATTCATACAAAAAAATCCAAGTCAATACAAGCAATTATGCCAAAATATCCTATGCTCATACAAATTACTCGACACATGAAAAACCATATTCTAACTAACCACAAATCCTTCTCTCAAATCCATTTCTTCCTTTTTATTTTTATTTTTCAATTCATTTTTAATTTCCCTAGTTAGGGTTTATATTTTCAGATCATTTTTCTCAATTATTCATGGCGTCCAGTTTTGACCGATGGGAAAAAGATCCATTCTTTAACGCCGCTGAAGAAGTTCAAGAATCTGCAGATAGGATGGAATCTACATTTAGGACATGGATTCATGCTACCAAAGATAATTCAAGCAGGTGGAACCCTAATGAACTCATAAGAGATTTACTTACTACTCTTGGCACTACTAAATGGCAGTTAGAGGAATTTCAACGTGAGATTAAGTCAAGTTATAGCAGAAACTCGGTAATGATGCAAGAACTAGGCATCAAGATTTTATCACTGCTATGGAGGATAAGATAAAGAAAGTCGAGCTTTCGTTAAATGAAGCCTTCCCTTTGGGTGGAAAGGCATCTCGGCAGTGGGTGTGTTTGGACGAAGGAGAAAAAGACGAGCTTGCTATGTTTCTTTCAGGAATGCCAGTAGCTGAAAGCAACAGTCAGCGATTATGTGATAAGGGTTATGTCGTTAATTTGTCGAAGGATTTTCCTGTTTCAACTGGGCGTGGCGAAGTTAAGGAGGAGGTATCACACGGGTTTCGTAGGGTGGCTAGTGCTAGTGCTGATATTGGTTATTGGAAAATTTCAGTTAACGATGATCCACAGCAGTTGAGTTCCTCCAGTGGTTCTTCTGGAGGTGGTCCAATGCATAAGGTGCCAAGCTTATCGGGATTTTTTAGTTCTGTTGAATCAATCTCGAAATTGAAGTGGCCGAGGAATGGTTATAGAAAACTGAAAACAGTGGATCATCATAAAGAAACTGATAGTGCACTAATTCCAATGGCTGAATTGAATAGGGGAAACAAAACCTGCCTTGAAAAAAACTAAAAGTAGCCTCAATAGTTTGGATGAATGTTACGACAAGCAACTCTATGGATGGTGTGGCGCTATTCAGAGACAGCTTCAAAGATCTCAATATCAAATGCAATACAGTCGGCTAGCACGAATAACTGTTTCCGTTATTCTCCTTTGCTTGATTGTTTTAATTGCATTCCGCAAGATGTAGAAGGAAGTAGAAGTAAGATTTATGATAACTGGCGGAAGCATTATGATCGGACAGGTTTTAGAGCATGTTTGGTTATACAATGTGATGGTATTTATCACATCTCATTGTTCGCAGAATGTGAATTTTCCAAAGCTCCAAATAGTAGAATCGAGTCAGCAGAGGGTGATAGGCCACAGAAGACAACAAACCAACTCCTAACCGAAATTAACCAATTCCAACTAACATTTTCGTTCAACTACTAACTTCTTCACATAGCATATTACCTCTTAATAACAAAATTGCCTTCAACAAACTTAGCTAAATCCATTAACCTCCTTTCACAATAGAATTTCTAACTAATTTGCTACTAAACTGCCATATTCCCTAACTGTCCAGCAGAAAAATAACTAAACAGTATCCTAGCTACTCTTCATTCCAAAACTAACACATAACCTCCCCTCTAACCGATTTTCCAGCTTATCTCTTAACTAACGTAACACAACTTCCTCTAACAGCCTAACTCCTCTAACTCCAACCAATTCCAAACAGGACTTCTAACTTATAACTAACACAATTTCAACCAACCTTTCTAATTCACAGATTCCTAACCGTTTCTTAACCAACTTCCAAAGTAGAATTTCTAAACAACAAATTTCCAGCTTTCTTACAACCTATTCCCCAACTAAATTCCCTAACAGAATTTTCTAACCATAACTTCCTATCCAAAACCATATCTCAATTAACCAACTTAACTAACCCAAAAACAGTTACAACATACCTAACATTCAGTAACCAATTCATGACAAACTCTTAAACCTTCTAACCACTTATAACTGCATAACAAACTGCATCCTAACTTCCTAACAGAATTAACTAACCACATAACCAACTCATGGCTTATAAATAACAAAACTTCCAGCATATAGAGGGAGATCACAAATAGAAAAAGGGGGGCAGAGGGGATTTTCAGTTTGGAGATCTATTCTTTATTTCACAAACACAGAAAAACACAAAAGAGGAGAGATCAAGAACTCACCAAAAACACTCTGAAACCTCAACCTTCTTCTCCATTTCATCATCTTCACATCAAACTTCAACACTCATCATCATCTTCACACCAACCTACAACATCAATGCATCATCATAATATCAATGTGCACAACAATTTCAATCACCAATGTTTAACGTAGCAACATCACGGTAACATCAACAACATCGCCTTCATATCATACACAATAGCAACAATTCAGAAACGGGAGAATCGAAAGAGAAGAAGAAGAAAAGAAATAGCATAGGCAGGAGATTGAAGAGTATACCTTCTATACCGCTGGTCTTTTCTGATTAACGCCACCACTTCGAATAGCTACCAGATAGGTAAATCTTCTTTTGTTGCTCTGCAATTTCTGTTTCGAATAAGTTGTTGAATCCACAAAAAGATACGAAACACAGAGAAAATCGAAATGAAAACGAATCGGCGGAAGAGATGTTGAGATGTTGAGACGAGTTGACGAACGGGTGAGGTTGAGAGGCGAGCTCACTGAGAGGAGAGTCGTGTCATCGAAGATGAAATCCCGGTAAATATTGTACCGTTGAATGGAAGCCAGGGCAGAGAGATTTTGTTTAGCGATAGAGCTTTTGACGGAGATTATGAGACATCGGTGAGCTATTGAGGAAGAAGGCCCTGCAGCGCTGTGTGGAGAATTGTATTTCAGAAGGATTTGAAGAGATACTTTTAACCCTAATTCCTCTTCTAATTCACACTGTTCCTTCATTCTCTTTACTTTACTTTTTTTTATTTCAAATGTTTTTATTAATTGTTTTTTTAAAATATAATTATAACCATGTTGAATTGAAACTGGTGATGATTGGAGTGATTTGTCCTCCGAATTGCAACTCTCTTCTAGGCCCATTACACGTTTTTTTGCAGTTTGGAGCAGTTTGTGAACAAAAAGCAGCCTTGGCCCATACCATTTTTGTAGAGATATTGGAAGCGACAAAAATATTATGGTTGGATTGTGTTGACGGACCTAGCACTCGGCTTTGTTTGCTAACCAGACTCCCTTATTCCAATTTTCACCCCCTATCTGTTTCTAATTGTTTTAGTTTTTTTATTTCAGTTTAAATTTTCTTTTAAACTTTATTTAATAAAGACTAATGCTAATGAAACAATAAGAAAAATAGGTAGAGTTTAGGATTTTTTTAAATTTTTTTCTATATCTTTCCATGATAAAAATGATAAAAATCAATCAAAATTTGTTAGATTTTTTATTTTGATTTTAGAAATTAATTCATAATTATTCGATTACTTGAGACTTGTGATTCACTGTTGTTTTTTGAGATTTGATTCTTATGCCGGTTTGTTGTGTGATATGCGGATATGCTTGAGTTTTCGATTGCGATTTATTTTCACATCAATGATGCTTCAACACTTATTCCGAGCATTGGATTTCTAATTCTTTTCTTTGTTGATGCTAGTAGCTCGTGAGATCATCAAGTTTCTTTGCTTTTTACTTTGCTCTACGAGCTAGTACTCGTTTGGTATATTTTCTTTCTATTTTCACCTCGCATTTATCTCTTCCCATAGATCATATGAAGTATGATAACATTAGATTTAGAAATAGGCTAGTCTTCTTGTGACTTTCGTCTTCCTGTGACTTTCGTCTTCCTGTGACTTTCGTCTTCCTGTGACCTTCGTCTTCGTGTGACTTTCGTCTTCCTGTGACTTTCGTCTTCCTGTGACCTTCGTCTTCCTGTGACTTTCGTCTTCCTGTGACTTTCGTCTTCCTGTGACTTTCGTCTTCCTGTGACTTTCGTCTTCCTGTGACTTTCCTCTTCCTGTGACTTTCCTCTTCCTGTGACTTTCGTCTTCCTGTGACTTTCGTCTTCCTGTGACTTTCGTCTTCCTGTGACTTTCGTCTTCCTGTGACTTTCGTCTTCCTGTGACTTTCGTCTTCCTGTGACTTTCGTCTTCCTGTGACTTTCGTCTTCCTGTGACTTTCGTCTTCCTGTGACTTTCGTCTTCCTGTTACTTTCGTCTTCCTGTGACCTTCGTCTTCCTGTGACTTTCGTCTTCCTGTGACTTTCGTCTTCCTGTGACTTTCGTCTTCCTGTGACTTTCGTCTTCCTGTGACCTTCGTCTTCCTGTGACTTTCGTCTTCCTGTGACTTTCGTCTTCCTGTGACTTTCGTCTTCCTGTGACCTTCGTCTTCCTGTGACTTTCGTCTTCCTGTGACCTTCGTCTTCCTGTGACTTTCGTCTTCCTGTGACCTTCGTCTTCCTGTGACTTTCGTCTTCCTGTGACTTTCGTCCTCCTGTGACTTTCGTCTTCCTGTGACTTTTGTCTTCCTGTGACTTTCTTTCCTCCTTTGCGTATGCAGTTAAAACAAAAAAAATTTTTTTTTACAAACTTCAAAATACATAAAAAATTTACTGACAAAAACCATGTCTTGGCTAAGTTTGAGAGATGATGAGCGGGTTTATTCTCGACATTATTATTCTCTTGTTCTAAGCTTTGGTATGATTCAAGTCTCAAAGACTCATTTCATGAATAAATAGAGAAATGGCTAAAATCTCTCTCTTGAGGTTAACTAGCTATTATCTACAAGCAAAAACACCAACAAACATAAAAATCTTTTTGCCCTCGGGCCTTTCTTTCAGACCCTTTTCAAAAGAGCATATTAATTCACTTCTGTGCTGACGCGTAAATCTCCAAAGGTCGAGTTGCGGCAGAAGGCGAGATTAATACTGTTCGTTAAAGAAAATACAAACAAACAAAAACATATAAGCCGAACTACGGCTGCTCTGATTCCTTAAAACGGATACGTAGGCATTGGGGTAGGGCCCAGGCGAGCACAATTTTATTTTCCCTACTCTTTTCCCCTTTCTTTTGCATGCACTTTCCCTTTAGCAGTAGTAGACAATAAGTATAGATTGAACACACCCATAAGATAGACAACAAGAGTGGATACCGTAGAGTACTACGGGCGTGTGGGGTGCTAATACCTTCCCCTCGAGTAACAGACTCCCTTACCCTTATCTCTTAGTCGTTCGACCTTGATTTCATCCTTCTAGGGTTTTCTCGATGTTTACCTTTCCCTTCATGTGGGATAAAAGACGTTCGATGGCGACTTCATTGTTTTGATGATTTTCAGCCGGTTGTTTCAGCTGGCGACTTCACTGGGGACAGGTCGACCAAATGCTGGTCCATCCCGGAGTCGCTCCTAGCTCTTGCTTTCTTTTCTTTGGGTGTCTATTTTTATGCTTTCAGTTTACTCATTTGTACATGTTTTCCTGAGCATAAGTTTGCATTGCATTTTATTGCTTTCCCTATTTGTTATCTATTATGCTGGACTCTGTTTTCCATGTTAGGTGGGGATGTCACTATTGAGGTAAAAGGCCCAGTACCCAGGCCAGAGTGCACTAGGACACTAGGAATAGAGTGGGGGCATGACGGCTATAGGACGCGGTCCGATTAGTGCAGTCTTGTCATATACCATGCTCGGATGAGGTTCAAATGAATTACTATCGGCACCCACGTCTGTGGGTAAGCCCATAGTACTTTCAGGCGGACCCATGATTTTCGAGTTACCATTGTCTTACCCTGACCTAGTCTTCACCCGTGAGTGGGGAGGGATTTGTCATTTCAGGTACCGTTGGTGACTATGTTCAAATGGTTACTCGTGCTCAGTTGGTGACTATGTTCTGATAGTAACTGTTGTTCTGTTGGTGACTATATGGGTCTCAGATTTTTTTTCTTCTGGATTCGGTATTCAAGATGGTTATCTAGTTATGTTCCGGACCTTCGATCCTGATATATTTTACTTGGTCAGAGATTATACAACGATTAATCATGGTACTTGGTTCCATTGTATGCTGAATTTGGTTCTGAACCTTTGATCCTGTGATATCCATATTATTCAGCAGATTTATACAGCAGCTATCCAGAGGATTGTACAATTGTTATGCTGAACTTTTGAACTTATGTCATTGCATCTTGCATCATAACATGTTTATTTTACACA